GAGAAGCAGGTTTGCGGTTTGCAGGAGGTCCAGTATAGGACCAGGACAATCCTTTCTCCACTCACAGGCTGTGAGACTTTGAGGGTTGAGGGTCCGTACTCCCTGTTGGGGGAGGTTCCCTTACCGGCTGCCATTAAGCCTTAGTGAGCTTGGAGGGTTCCTGGGTCCTAGTAAGTGAAAGGCGGGAAGCAGAGTGGGGGATGGGGGCAGAAAGGCAAGAATAGAGGCCTGGAAGATGAGGGGACTACAGGCCAGGGCCCAACTCCGTGTCCTCGTCCTGGGTTTCAGCACCAGAATATCAGAAAAGAAAGGAGGCCGAGAGTATCAGACTGAAGCAGACTTTATTTGGTCTGTGAGGGACGACTCTTGGCAGCAGTAGAGAATCATGACCTGAAATTGGGAGAATTGGTCTTTATAGGGTCTGGCTACTGCTGGAATTTTTTGGTGTGCAGGAGCCCGGCAGGGGTCTCTTCTGCCGGAGGAGGTCTGCTGGAGTTATTTACTGCCAGGGGCAGGGGTCTCTACTGGAATTCTTTATTGCTGTCAGCTTATCTGGGGTTTAGCTTACCTCTGGTCCCTTGGCGCCTGGCTGTGCGGGTTTTATGAGGTGCCTGTGTGTGCTCTCATCATCCCAGCAACTTTTTAATTCTACCTCAGATTATTTTTCCTCAATTGCTCCTTGAGGATTGAGTACTATAGACATCCCCAAAGGAAATCTGTAACTAAGAGGAAATCTCAAATTCAGGTGAAAGTGTCCAAAGTGGGCAGAATCCTCTCCAGGTCTTACATTTTTCTTAAAATGGATTGAGTTCAGCCACTCCCAATTGAGGCTTTAACTCCTCAATCTGGCAGTCATTTTGTTTGGGGTCACTTGCCCTTTGGAAGTTCCTAGAAGCATATCAGGCTGTGCAGAGCTCTGTAGGTAGCAAACAAGAAAGGGCATAGTTCTGGAGATAACAATTTGGCGGTCTGCTGACTAAGCGTGGAGAGTGGAGAGCCAGATCAGAGACTGGGGCTGCTGCCTCAGCTCTTCCTGAATCAACTCTGATACCCATGAGGAGTGACTTTTCCAACTAAAGGTCCCAGAACAAAGGAGCCTCGGGAGGCTTTGGTGCAGGGTCCATGTGCAGATTTCATTGCAGCCTGTGGGGAGAGATGATGCCACTGCCATTCCATTGCAGGCATTGTTGGGAGGGAAGGCAGACAGTGGCAGTCTAAAGACATGATTAAGTAAAGAAAATTGTTTTATGGACCTTGGGCTATCAAATCAATTAAGCCAAATGACACCCATCAAAATCTCATTAGAGTTCATTACAAAGGGTGGAGCAAATAAAGTCAGTGGCAGCGTTGCCAAAAAAACTGGCGACACTGGATGTAGGAGGTTAGAATGACAGCTGGAGATGAAAAGGTGAAATTGTGATGACTTGCCTTGGCCAAGGGGTCCCATAACAGTTCACAATGAAGGGGAATGGACTCAATTTTCAACCCTCCTTCCCTTTTTTTTTTTTTTTTTTTGCCTCTGGAGAGAAAGAATTGAAGATAATAAAGAACTGGAATCTCTGAATGTGTGATGGAGTTGCTGAGGAGTTCTACCAGCCTTCAAACACTGGTGTGCAGTGAGCTGATCTGAGGTAATGACTGTGGAACATGAAGCAAAAGAGCATGAGGACATGGCCAAAGGAGAGTGGTAAAAGTCTGCTGGCTGGAAAATTACCTCCTGCTAAAAACAAAACAAAACAAAAACAAAAACAAACAAACAAAACCCAAACTCTTAAAAACACCAAATTATTTCTTGTTATAGTTACAGTTCTGCCCTGGAATGACTTATGGAAGAAAGAAAAGTGAGCAAAACATAGTTAGGAGCAGGCTACCTTGAACAGTTTTTCTAGCTGTGACTTTAATATTGTTCACAAACTGGTTCTGCTTCAAATGGGTTGGCTCTGCAGTTTACTTATGTTTTTGGCTTCTGTCTCAACAGTTGTCTGCAGACACAGCAGCCCCAGTAAATGCAGCAGACAGCAAAGGGGAGATGGGTCTTTGGCTAAGAATTAGGGGACCTGGAAACTGTTTGCTTATGTGACTCAGAGGAGCTATTGTACATATTTGGGTGTTAATTTCTGTTTCTACGAAATGAGAAAAATGTTTGAATAGAATTAATGAGAAACTTTTTTTTTTTTTTAGAAATAAGGGTCAATTCAGAAAAAAACTAAAAATATTTATAAACTTTTTTGTTTTTATTAAGGAGCAGTCACCTGGAGTGGGCTTTTTAAACTTTTACTCTGAAGTTAGATTTGGGCTCTGTTTGTCCATCACTGGAATAGACAACTGTGGTTTGTCTTCCAGATGAAATAGGTTCTTGGTTCTCTAGCGGAAGTGCGTTTTGTTTATTACCTCTTGGTGCCATTTCCCATCAATTCTTAACAACATCATCAGAAGGCTATTTGGCCAGTGTTTTCTGTTCTCAAGAGGCTCTTGAAAATTCTTGAATACAAGTGATATTATTCTATTCTGTTTACACTCACTTGTCTTATAGTCATCTGTCCTGGCTCAGCAACTAGCACAGAATGAAATCAATAAATATTTACAATTTAGCAGCTAATGTGATGATTCTCAGAAAACAAAACAACAAATTTTGACAGGTTACAAACAACCTGGTTGAACCAGGCTGGAAATTCAAATGCCCAAACAAGTCTGTCCTGAATGAATAGTAGTGCCTGGTGTCTTGAATTGTTAGTATCTGTCGCCTGTCTCACTGGCATCTGGGGCACGTGGCTGAAGGAGGTGGAGGACAAAGCACGGTCTCTGGAGTCAGAGTGTCTGGTTCTTAAACTGGCTCTACTATTTTGGGCTATATGCCTAACCCCTCATTGCCTGTTTATGTGTAATATGAGGGTAAAATATAGCACCCACACCACAAAGATGTTGGGAAAATTGAGTGAGTTAATTATATAAATAAATAAAATACACAGCACTGAGTCCAGCACATAGTAAGCACTTAATACATTTCATCTGTTATTGTGTATCCGTAGCAACTGTATAATGCCCAGGGGTAGGGGTGCTGTCTAATTGCAAGGAAACTGGAGTTGGTCCCTAAGATACATCATCAAAGATGGGGGCCATGCCTAAGCCGTGTCAATTCAGACAGAACAAGACCATTTTCCTTCTCCCTTGGTGAGACCATTAGAGTCTCTGGACCTGATGACCATCAAGAAGAAACCAAATCTTGTAGAAGGACTCAACTTTCCTTAAATACACACATCTGGAATTCCAAAGTCAATGGCGAGATCTCACTCTCAGTGGAGTGCACCTAGGATGAAGTAAATCATTCAGTAGAGAAACTGCAGGAATTTCCTTGAGCATGCCTTGCTGCTGGGATTTGACCTGTTTGGACTTCCTTTAACCATAACCCAAAGCCAGCTAGACTCCAGAGTCTGCTGAGTCTTGTTCTGCTGCTAAAACTTAACATGCCCTGATTGCTTAGTTTGGTAATGACTCTGCTCTTTCAATTTGATCCCATTGATCAACTCATGCTAATCTGAGGTGTGGTAACTAATGTTCAATCTACACAACCTTGGATCTTTCCAGCTCTGTGCTGATGCTGTGCCTATGTTGATGTGCTCAGCTCTACCTGTGTCCACCTCATAAGTCTCCTGAGTCCTGAGCCTGTGGAGATGCCTGGCTGAACCAAAGGGAAAACATAGATAAACAGAAACTAAACATAGATATAGAGAAAACAAATTGTTTAGAGAAAGAACTAGAAATTGAGTTGAGCCAGAATTATAACCTTCAGATGACATTGCCTCTAAAATACAGTAATCAACAAGAATTAGCTCTTAAATAAAATGTTGTTTTAATAAAATACTGCATACATATATTTTTCTTTTTAAAGATCTTATAACCACAATGGTTGATGTGAATGATAATATATGATGTACTATATAATCAGTAGCAAAAACAAGGCATCTCAAATAAATAGACATTAACACTTTTTTAAAGGCTATATTCTGCAAATTAGCTGGGATTGGAGAATAGGCAAGGAGGAGTTGGCTTTTCCTCTAAGAATGTGTTCTTGGTTGACCTGGGATAGAGAAAGGAGTCATATTTACCCTCCAGGAGTCAAATGTAATATTGGAGTGACCTTCTGGAGGAGGAATCCTTGCATCTCCTTGCCTTCTCCTTGCCATTTTACTCAAGATTTCAGAGTTTCAGTGAACATAAAAAAGTGCCACCAGAGTCATCTGTAGGCATCTGAGGGTCCAGCAGGGTGAGTGTAGCCAGTGGAAAGTTCTGGAGAAGGCAGAGCTGGGCTAAGGAGGAAGATCCAACGTGGTGGAAGAGAAGTTTACCATGGCTGAATGGTTTGTCCTAGTACAATGTCTAGGTCACCACAGTCATCTGGAAATCCTTATAAACACAAAGACCATGGATGTATAATAGAAAAATACAAGAAATAGAATTGCTCCACTAACTACCTATTAATTATACTTTAAGTTGGTCCTCCACTATCGATCGTCTCTTACCTAAAGATTTGAATAAACATTTTACAAATAACATTTAGATGTTATTTGACATGTAATATGCCTGAGAGGCAAAATACTAAAAAATCCTCCTTAGTGCATCCTTCCTTCCCTAACAAATCCACTGCTGCTTTCTCCTTTTCTGGGTAAGGATGAGCACGAATAGAAAATTCTCAGTTGGGATCTCCAGCCCAGGATTGTGAGCTAGTCTTACCTGCAAGTCTTGCTTTTGCATATCTGACAAAAGAACCAGTAAGTCTTCAGGGGAAAATCCAGAAAGACAACTACTAGCAGATAGGATTTTCTCAAATAGCCTCCTTAGCTTTCAAAAAAGTCACCTGTTACAATTAGAATTGCAAAGGTTGGAGAGGGTCACCTGAGCTGACTCTAGCACCTCTGGCTTCAAAATGGGTTGGCAGAAGACCTAGCCACCCTCAATCCTTGGCATGATCATTGATTTTAAATATGGAGACTCCACATCCCTTACAAAGACTTCTTGTCCGATTGGCCCATGACCTGGGCAAGACAGTAGGGGATAAGACTGACAGATGCCAGGGGCACTGCAGCACTCTTGCAGAAGGACAGGACATAGAAGACAAGCTCGACTTTGGATGGGGGTTTCAAAGAATCAAAGAGGTGCAGGAAGACGAGGGAGGTTACGATGCAGCTGAGGCGGAACGGAAACCACTTGCTCAGCTTGCCTTTGCAGCTCTCCTTGTACATGCCGGAGTTGAGAGCCAGCCCCAGGCCAAACAGTGTCCCCAGGTTCTTGAGAAGGCTGGCAAAGGGCGTGGTGTCAATGTGTACCCACTCTGGCCGCTCACACCACTTCTTAGCTTTCTCTAGAGTCCACAGGAGGTCGACACCCAGGCCCTTGAGCAGCAGGTAGAATCCAATGGCAAAACTGAACAGGAAGAACGTAATGAAGAAGTATTTCTTGAGGCTGGCATTGTAGATGCTCTGGATGTGGCGGAAAGTTTCAGCAACAGCAATACCTGAAAGAAAGAAAGAAAGTCTGTGAGAAATAGCAAGAGTTGGACTCTCATCCAGAGGTTGTTTGGAGCAAGGGGTGAGATGCCATCTGCACTGCTGCTGTGGATTGCCAGATAGACATTGTGGAACGACAGGTGCCAGGTTAGAGGTTTGTTCCCATACATGACTCCAGCCTGCCCTGCGCTACCGACGCAGATGGAAGCATCAAATCATGAGCAAGTTTCCTGAGGGGGAATCCTCCTGTCTCTACTTGAACACCCATGGCGGGGAGAACTCACTTCCACTTAGGCAGCCTATTTCATCTTTTTTTTTTTTTTTTATAGAGGCATGTTTTTATTTATTTGTTTGTTTGTTTGTTTTTGTTTATACAAGCACTGGGTACAGTCAGAAGCGCGGGAGGGTGAGAGAATTCACCAGAGCCAGAGCGAGGAGCAGAGCGGGCAGAAGGAGCGAAGTACACTGCTGAGGGGAGCAGCGGGCGGCAGGAGAGGTCTGCGCGCCATGTGGGACCCTCCTCTGGTGGCCGGGGAGCAGCCGGGGATCGAACCGGCGCTGCAGAGGCTGTGGGCAGCTTCGCAACCCAGTGCTCAACCGCTGCGCCACCGGGGAGGCCCCAGCCTATTTCATCTTTGACTGGATTTGATTATCAAAAAAAAATTCTTTCTTGTCCTGACCTGGAATGTGTCCCTCACCAAGGCCATCTGTTGGTCTCAGTTCTTTCTGCAAGATTTAGTCAGTTATAAAGCTTGAGCCTCTGCAACAGGTTGGAGGACAGTTACATTCTCTGACCTCAACATTGCTAAGCCTTTCATGCAACATGATATCCAGGCTCTTCTTCAAACCTGGAGCCTGGGACTAAATGCTGTGTTACTTCTGTGGTTGCCATGAAGCCATTATCTCCCTTGTTTTCAACATGGTTCTTTGCTCCTGTGTTGTTATTTCAGATCTTCAGGGGGAAATTCCACACTTTCCCTAAGTTTTTCTATTCCAGTACCTCCCACAAAGTCAAGAAATTCTTCTTACACTTAATCTAAATCTTCCCTGGCCGTTATTAACTGGATCTAAGAAAACACAAATATTCAAACCTTTGAACCTATAAAAAAGACCAGCTGTGGAAATCTTTTAGGTTTTCAAGTGAATACTTAAAGAGCTTTCTGAGGATAATGTGTCCATTAGTTAAATTTGGTAGATTCCCTTAAACTAAGCAAGGGGCCACTTCCAAGAAAGAAAGAAAGAATGCAAAAAGCTTGGAAATTTCAAGCTAGTTCAGTTGAATAAATCAAGCTAGTGTATTGCCACCTCTCTGGAACACTTTTAGTTGTGTAGATCTGAGCTTTCCTATAGAAATTAATCATCAGATTGCTTACCGATTATACATACAACATGGTTGGGATACAGGAGTTTTGTCCTGATGAGGGAGGCATGGGATGGGCAGGGAGGAAGGGAGGAAGCCGTAGTGCCCCTACCTGACAGGACTCCAGCAATAACCTGATGGGGAAAATGAGCAGCAAGATAGATTCGCGACAGACAGACGTTCAGCTGCACGGCCCAGAATCCCAACCACAAAACGATGTTCAAGCACCTGCAATGGAAGAGGCAGCCGTAACAGAACCAGGATACAGATCCTTCAGCAAAGAAAACAGCCCCGGCTTGAAGTCTGGAGTTTGGCAAACTTTGGTGCCATTGATGGAATTTTTGTAAACTGAACTTCTCAAAGATGCCTGTGGCCAATGGGCAAACTTTGACTATGTGGGTTTTAGCTTCCCTGTTTTATGGGAATTTGATAATTAAGGATTTGCACAGTGACTGCAAGCCAGAACTCCCTGTGGTAGGAATAGTTTTTCCACTTATTTTAACCTGGATGGGGAGACTCCAGGGTTGGTACAGAAATGGGTTTTTATTTAAATGCTGCATGTCCTCACTATCTGATCTTGAGAGGCCCCCTCCTTGTTTCACTATCTGTAAAACTAGGGGTTGCAGGCCTCCCTGGTGGTACAAGGTATTAAGTCTCAGCACTATGATGCTATAAGCAGCAATTTCTATCCCTGGCCAGGGAGCTGACCCACATGGCACAGCGGACCTCTCCTGACTCTCCCGCTGCTCCCCTCAGCAGTGTATTTCAGTCAATCTTCCTGTTCTGCTCCCCACACTGTCTCTGGTGAATCCTCTCACCACTCACACCTTTGGCCTATACCCCAGATCTTGTATGCATAAATAATTAAGATACATCTTTAAAAAATAAAAACTAGGAGTTGCTTTCAGGAACGTTCTGTAACACTAATGTCCAACCTCAACAGACACACCTCAATACTTATCAGTACCAACCCGAGGTTGATGCCCAAGGGATGGGCCAGGGGAAAGTGAGGGAGAGAAGTGCTGTATGAGCTGCAGGGAGAGCCTCCTCTACCACCCCCATCCCAGTGGTAGGTTCTTACCGAAATTTGTAGGTTGGCTTTTTCTTTCCCCGAAAGATAGAGAGGGTAGATGTCACCATCACGTAATATACACCTGCAGCGCCCATGGCATGGCCAGAGGGACTCCCTAAAAGCAGGGAAGAATGAATAAATGGACTAAAGGTGAGAGGTTCCCATTGGGGAAGCCGCTCAGGGCCATCATCTACCCGTGCATCTGTCCATCCATCCATCCATCCATCCATCCATCCATCCATCCATCCATCCATCCTTCTGCCCATCCACTTGTCCAGCAATCCATTCACCATTGCATCCATTCATTTATCCATTTAGTCATTTATTTAACAAATATGTATTGAGTTTTTATCACAGGCCCAGCACTGTGGTAAGCTTTGAGAATACAGTGGCAAGCAAAACCACTGTACAGTTTTTTTCCTTATAGTTATGTACAGTCTAGAGACTGTGTGAAGAATCTGCATACTGGGTGTTTAACTGCAAACCAACCTGTCCTCCATTACCTCTTCAGGGATAGCGTCCCTGCGGTAGGGACATGGCACTGAGACCTGAGGGGAGTGAAGTGGTTGGATAGTGCGCCTTCCCATGGAAAGCTAAGTCTATCATTTGCTTGGATAATATCTATCTGGCTGTAACCAGTTAATACAAACAAGTGTGGGATTGGGCTGTCAGCTGAGGAGACACATCTACTGGGCCTGTCTCTCGGAAGACAGTCAGGGACTCAGGTGTGTACCACTTTCCTCCCCTGGACACAGGGCCATGGTGAGCCTTTTGCCCATGAGGGTGACCTTGCCTCTCTGCTCTAGAGATTTAGACAGATTTCTAAAGTAGCAGCCACATGCTATTCAGGAAGGCCTTGCTGAAGTGCTGCCAAGTTGAAGCCCATGACGAGAACTCAAAGGAATAACTTTCCTCCCACCCCCATAAAGGCAGCATCATCCACCGTGACTGTTAACAGGCGTCCACTGTGCTCATGGCCCACCTAGGGGCCTGGCCTCCACAGGGTGGGCCTCTCACCGGGTCCAGTCTCACAGGTGACCGGGAATTGCTTGATCAGTGGCGCTGAGGTGTTGTTGTAGTAGTCAGTGTCCAGGACCCACCAGTATGGGCGCTGTCCAAAAAGAATCCTGTGGAAAAGCAGAACCCATGTCTGGAGTCACTGATGGCCTTGAGGCCACACCTTAAAGAGAGACTAGCTTGAGGAGACCCCATGTGATCCTACATAGAAACCGGTACATCTGGCAGCCTTCAAGAAGGGCAATGGTGGCTGCAAGAGGCATGGAGGGAGACTTTTATAATACATCTTTTATATAAGTTGATTTTTGAGGGCCTCCCTGGTGGTGCAAAGGGTTAAATCTCAGCTCTATGAAGCTATCTGCAGTCACTGCAGCACGAGTTTGAGTTCGGATCCCCAGCCAGGAAGCTGAACCACATGGCACAGCAGACCTCTTCTGTCTCACCCGCTGCTTCCCCTCAGCAGTGTATTTCAGTAGATCTGCCTGTTCTGTTCCCCACTCTGTCTCTGGTGAATCTTCTCCCCCTCCACACACCCCCCCCACCCCCGCCACCTCTGGCCAGCTCATTTTCTAGATGAGGAAATAGAGGCCAACGTATTTTAAACATATGTATAAACATTACATAAAGTAATGTTTTAGAGTCAGCTGGTATTGGCTAATGATTGTAAAATATTCAGGATTTTTACAATTGGATGCATCCATCAGTAGCTTGAAAGTGAGCATGATGGTAATATATACACAGTAAAGATTAGAAAGTGACAAAATTATGACTCTCTCCCCCACCCCCCTTCCAAAAGACCAAAAGAGTAAGTTAATCAGCAGTAGCTATCACGTAGCACATAGCTCATAAGATGCTTGCCTCTGAAACCAGCCTGCCTGGGCTTAAGTCCTGCCTCTGTTGGTCTCCTGTGTTGGTCTCCTCTGTAATATGGTGGTAAATACCCTACATGGCCTGGTACATACTAAATGTTAACGATCATAACTGTTAAGGTCCTGAAAGGGAACTGCTAAGAAAAAGAAATCTTTCCCTGTTAAAGAGTCATAGACCTGGAAATGTAAAGTAAATAATAAGTTTGCTTCCTTAATAAGCATGTCTAAACAAAGTCTGGCAGCCTGCTAGGCTGATTGATCTCCCAGGCCATCCTGGAAGATCTGTATCCTTCCCCTTTTCCTGTGTCAAGAATTTGTATGCTAACTAACCAGCTTTATCAATGTAAAGTGCTTGTGTATAAAAGAAACTCTTTGTGTCTAGACCAGTGCTCAGACCTTATGGGACTACCCAGCTCTGAGACCTCATGCATGAGTAATAAAGCTTTCCTGACCTCACCATTCCTAAAGTACTGCTTGTTCTTCCCCTGCCTGGGTAAAAGGCTAGAATTTAGTTCTGCAACAGTCCCAGAGAGAACCTACATTTATAGATTAGGAAGCAGGAACTCAGAGTTGCTATGACTTGCAACTGGACAGGACATGCAGTTGGTGGATGGCAGATTGTCTGGAGCCCAGCTCTCTGGATAACTTCTGGTAATCCCAAGAGCAGGTTTTGAAATGATCTACATGTTTCCTTTTTTCTTTCTTCCTTTATACTCTACCTCCACCTTCATTATTTTGCTTCAAAATAATGAAACTGTGCCTTGGTGCTTTTCGCCTGTAATTCAGACTTTCCAGTGAATCCATCAGTCTTCCATCCACACGAAATAATCTTTTCTCACTGTCAGGATTACTTTTTTTCCTGTCTTTCCTCTTTACGTAGATGATCCAAAGTCAGGAGGGGAGTCACCTGTAGCTTCCCGAATAGCTCAGAGGAGGCAACTTTCCAAAGGACAGACAATTCCAGAGAGAATGCCAGCCTCTTTGCTTGCCAGTCTCCTCTCCATTCAGCGTTTACTTACCACTTAAAGACGAGATTGAGCCAGTCACCAATCACAGCTACCCAGAGCAGTTTGATGCCCACAGCTTCTCGAAGATGGAACCAGATAGGGAAGAGAACATAGAAGGCATTCCTGAGGTCTGCAATCACCGACACCAAGATGAACCAATCCTGGGAGTTCTTGTAATTCACCTGGAGGTACTGCGTTGATCGGATCCCAAAGTCATGGAGAGCATTCATTCCTTCCTCCATCCTCACTCACCTGGCCCCTCAGAGGCTTTTAGCTGAGCCCTTGCAGTTATTCACACTTGGTGGCGATTGCTCTGCTATCAGCCTGCACCATGCCCTGGTTTTATACGCCCTGTATCCAGTCTGCATGTCAACCCAGCCCTGATCTTTGGACTCAAAAACCACTTTTGTCTAAAATCTATTGATCAAAGGTGCATCTCCAGTAAGTTGATGCAAACGTGTTCAGAGTGATTTACGTAAAATAGAAAACCAGGCACACAAAAACAGCCTGATCGGCCATGTACTGGGCAGAGGCAATTATTAACCTTGGCATGCCACTCCACAGTGCAAGGGGCTGCCCTCCTGGCTCTGAAACCTGTGAGGAGACACCGGCCAGAGTCAAAATCCACCATGGTTCCTACAAAGATGCTTCATTTCCTAAGTCTGCAACAGCCCTTATTTGAGGTCAAAGAAAAGTCTTGGTGCTTTAGCTGTTCAAGTTTGAAGCTGTGAATTTTTTAAAATTTCATAAGTTCTATTGTGCTGAGAGCTGTCACCTTGCTGGTCCTTTTTTCATTGCATTAGGGTCTAGGAAATGCCTCTCATTTGGGAGATCAAATCCTCTTCCCATTATTGGTTCTGTATCTCTCTTTTTTAAAGATTTATTTTTATTTATTTATGCATACAAGAACAGGGGTGTAGGCTAGAGGTGCAGCGGGTGAGAGAATTAACCAGAGACAGAGTGGGGAGCAGAATAGGCGGATCCACTGAAATACACTGCTGAGGGGAACAGCGGGCGAGACAGGAGAGGTCTGCTGTGCCATGTGGGTCACCTCCCTGGCAGGGGATCAAACTCGTGCTGCAGTGGCTGGCGATAGCTTGATAGCACTGAGACTTTAACCCCGGCACCCCCAGCGAGGCCCCTGGTTCTGTATCTCTTAAGGCCAGAAAATAATCCTCTTTGAATTCACCTGATGAATTCGTTTAATGACCTTCAAATTAAGACTCTGGAGGTTTGAACATGAAAGTTCAAGCAATAGAATAAATAGATACACATGCAAAACAATATGCAAAATAAGTGTGTGAGCGAAGCTCACCTAGCTGGGTCACCTAGGACTCATGAAAGGAAAAAGGGCTGAGTCAGATGATGAATTAGTACATTTTCCAAGATTAGAGTCCATGGGAATGAAGTTTGTAAAAACCTATTGAATTTCATCAGGAAGTCTACAGTGCCCTGCATGGGGTCGGTCAGGACCGGGAAGACACTCAGAGCTCATGATTCTGTAGCAAAGGTTGACAGCATTCCACACTGGAAATGTTAGGGGGAAAAGGATGTCCCAAAGCTATTTCTATATAAGCTTTGTGGACTCCACCCCCACCCCAGGTCAAAGCCAAAGACACTGGGAACTCCAAATCCCATCACCACCAAAGGGAAGGTGGCTGGGACCTGAGGGTGGGGTTAAGCAGCCAGGTGGATAGAAAAGGCAGACACATGGGCTTTGGGGGGACCCCATTTTTGGGCTCTCCACCAGCTCGCAGCATCCAGCCAGCTCTGAGAGTGACTTTGGGTTTCCAGGTCGTCAGATCGGGTAGGATGCATTAAAGACTTTATTTCCCTATTTTCTCCCTGAGTTGTACATTTTCCTTATTTCCTTTCCTCTTGTAAATAAACCTTTTATTAACCTTTTCCGTGTGTGTGTGTGTAGTAGAGTATTCATAAGTCCCTTTAAAGCGTGTGGGTGAGGACCCACAGCCAGGAACCCGTTCAATATCGGGGTTGCTCTATAACAGAAATGATTAAAACATCACCCAGGAGATGTGATGCGGAGTCTCATTCCCACCCACACTGGGTCCCAAGGACTCAAGTAGGCTCTGGCTGCCCTGTCCTGCCTGGAGAGAAGGTCGTGGTGGTGATGGCCCCGCCTGGGCTGGACATGAAGCTTGTCCTCAAAGTGCTGGGGGAAGAGCGTTGTGCACTGTCAGGTGGGGGTAGAGGGCCCCACAGGAGAGGCCCTTTCCCTCTCCCCAGATAAGCCTTCCTCGAAAGTATTGGGTAACTCTCGTGGTGACCCCGGGGCTGGAGTTTCTATGGTCTGAGGTGAGTCGGGGGCAAATAGAGCAGGTCCTCTGACAAAACAACCAAAGGCCACTGTTTGGCTCTCCGTGGGGCTTCCTGAGCCACAGCCTGAGTCAGGCAGGGCTCATCATGTGCTTGACATATGGGGAGCTTGTGAGGCGCCCTAACTGCTGGAGGAGCCTCGGCTAGATAAGGGAATCATGATGGAGCTGATGTCCCATCTGGACGTGAGGGCAGTGGGGAGTCCTCCAGCAGGCTGCCTGCCAGGCAAGGGGACCCTCTTGGTTGGAGCAACGGTGTAAGGTATCCTGAGATGTCTTGCTCAGCCTTTCACCTCCCAGCCCCTTCGTGCTTCCTCCAGCACATTCTCATCATGTGCAGAAAGAGGTGAGGCTCCAAAGGACTTGAGGCTGCTGGCAAGCTGACTGAGGAGAGGGACGGAGGGCTTCTCAAGTTCTCAAAGAATATTGTAGACAAAGCATTTGAATTCCTGGAGGTTTTGGTGAGAATTCACTCATTTAAAGACCTATCTCTGGAGAGGGGATGCCATCATCCCCATCTCCCATTCTCTTCCAACTCAAGAAGAGTTCCAGTTAATTCAACAAACACTTCTCAGCAAAACACCATTCCTAGCTCTGAGGAATTAGCAGCTCAGTCCTCGTTCTCTCTGGGGGACGCCCTAGTGGGGCAGAGGGGCCAGACATCTATGAAACTGTAATCCTTCGATCAACACTGAATTCAGCGCGCTAGGTACATGGCGGCAGAGATGACTCAAGATGTATAAACGCTCTCTGGGGAAATGACCGCTTGAGTCTGGGAAGCAATGAAGATGGAAAATTACAAGGCCCCTCTCTGACACATCCACTAGCTGGCCACTCCTCAGGCACTTTCTCCACAAACAGAAAGTTAGAGGCTTGGGGATCTTGGTTTGGGAACAACATAAAGGAAAGGGGCCAGAAAATACAGTCTGGTCTGCCATTAAGTGAGTACAGCTGGTTCCAGTGTTCTGGCACCTTCTTTTGGAGAAGCAGGGTTGACTCATTCACTCAAATAAGTTTATTTGCCAGTGTGAAAGCAAAGGGAAGGAAACATAATTTACCATACTGTTTATCCAAAAATAGCAAAAAGAAATTCTGACCTCACCTGCCATCCAGTCCTCTCTGTGGCTGGGGGCCTGGGGGCTGTTGAGAGAGGAGCTGCCTTTGCTTTGCTCCGTGTTATCACTAGAATGGGTCTCGTCTGCACCTTGTAGCAGGATTCAAATCCCAGCTTCACCAAGGTTTTGTCTGAGCAATTGGATAGATTTTGCCCAAGAGTTTATAGCTCAAGTTGCAAGATGTACAGTTGTTGTTTTTTAATTCGTTATTTCTTTGTGGGCATTTTTTCCCCCTCTGATCCATGGGGACATGTTTAGGGACAGACAGAAGAAACTGGCTGGATAACTGCTGTCCCTTTTTAAGCGTGTCATTTGGTTTTTTGGTGAGTGTGTGTGTGTGTGTTTTTTTAACAAAAGCATGTTGGGAAAAACAGGTGGAAGGAGAGGTGGATTAATCATTGTCAGCTGGCGAAAATGGCTGACTTATCTCCGGTGTGCGCGGCATGGTGAGAAAGTTCAGCTTGCAGGACCTTGAACTGTGTATCTGTTGATCAGGTCGGGGGAGCATGGTGCCTGTCTCAGGAGGGGCTGGACACTTTGTCCACGGAAAAGTACCCAAGAGCGTTTGCTTCATTGTAAACAGCTAGGAACTCCCCACTCACTATCTTCCTCCTGCCCCCCACCCCCCAGAGTCTGCCTTCCTCTGAAATCAAAGCAACCATCAGGAGCCTTTATGGGAAGAACAAACTCCCCATCCACTCTCTCTCCTCCCTCTTCCTTACCCTTCCTGCCCCCTAAGCTGTTGTTCCCTCTAGAGAAAATCCTGCTTATACCAATGGTCAAACATTTCTGTCCTGACCAGAAGGTGGACACTTCTCCCATCCTCAGTCACCTCTCTGGTGGTACCGAGGCACCCTAGCAGTTAGGAAACCATTCTGCTGTCAAATTTGATCCTCCCTGCCAGGAGTTCAACGTCAGTGATGGTGCCCTGCAGTGGACAGAGGGCAAGGGACGCGAGCCTCCAAAATAGTGGCCGGGACTCTTCGGAATAAATTCATTTTGCAAATCATTTAAGTCTGTCCCCCAGAGGCAAAGAGGAACTGTCTGGAAGTCTCGAACTAAGGGTCCAACACTAACCTGCCCTCTCTCCTTGCTTTTTTAGCTGAATTGGGACTAACTAAAGAAAGAAGGTAGGGAAACTAAGTCATCAATTGCTTGGCCAAAGCTTAGCCTGGTGGGATGAGGAGTGAGGAGGGGCTTGGGGGGCAGGAAGTGGGGGCAGAAGGAAACTCTACGTTTGCCTTAAAAGATTCTCAGAAATGCCCTCAAGTCTCCAGCAGCAGCAGCCCGTGGGAGACTGCCCCTCCTCCACTGTCATCGCTAGGATTTTAAAGGAAGAAAAAGGATAAATAGGAAGATTAACGAACTCTGTGTCCTTGGCTAAATCACTGGAGTTCTCTGGGTTTTACTTTTGTCAAAGGTAAAATGAGATGGTGACTCTCACTGTCCTCTCAGCTTTACTTGTTAATTTTTTAGTTCGTCCTCTCAGTTTTAAATTCCCTGTATGTTTTAGTGCTCCTTTGAAAGTAGCTCCAATGAGGTGGTGCCTGCTTCTCAATGATCTAACAGAATTAAATGATTAACTATTATTATTTTAAAAGATTTTATTTCTTTTTGCGTAGAAGAACTGGGGAGCAGGCGAGAGGTGCAAGGGGTGAGAGGATTCACCAGAGAGTGGGGAGCAGAACAGGCAGATCTACTGAAATACACTGCTGAGGGGAGCAGCGGGGAGACAGGAGAGGTCTGCTGAGCTGTGTGGGTTGCTCCCTGGCTGGGGATCAAACTCAGGCTGTCATGCTGATAGCACTGAGACTTAACCCTTAGGCCACCAGGGAGGCCCTAAATGATTAATTATTGCTCTTAG